CACATTAGCGATTGAATTGTGATTACTTTTCAATCGATCAGAGCCAAGCAGCCACTGATTGAGATGAGTGACTGTCATTTAGAAGAAGCTCTATTTTATAATCGGAAATCGCTAGTATGATTTGGCCTTAACGGACAGAGCGACTCTTTAAAGATTTTTCGGGAGTAAGAAGCTCGTAGATCACGCATTTCTCCTCACTATAGCTCTTCAAAGACAACTCACCGGGTCGATCCATAGTGCGGTCGAAGGGTTAATTTGACGTAAATCATCGCATGACTGATAACAACAATGCCGGTGGTAAAGATCGAACAGTCGACGGCCATATTATCGCGTTCTCGCTCGTCCCGCGAGACGGAATTACGCGGAATCGCAGCACAGCTTCGCGACGCGCTTCCGTTTTCGTTAAGTGCCGCTTTTTCCCCTTTCGCGGATCGTCCGGCTTTTACGAGCGTCCTCCGTGCGACCTCCGTTTCGAGTCTAGACGTCGGGTTTACGGCGTCGAAATAATGCAACGTCGACATCGTGTGTGATCTACATCTATGTGGTTGTATGCGGTCGAGAGTGCATGTAAAAGCGCACGCCCTTCCTCCATCCCGCTTTTCCGCCGCGAGTACGCACGAAAGAGAGGGAACGTATTCATGGAGACATTAAATGGAAATCATGGTTTTACGTGAGTGCGCCCGGGGCTACACACGACGCGAGTCACCCGATATATATACACGCTCCGTTTTGCTTATAACCATTTTATAAATATTTAACGACGGCCATACTTTACCGTATTCTTTGCCGCGGCGTGCGCTCCGACCGTCTTTGTAAATTTGACGTTCCTTTTTTTTTTACTCGCCTTCCGTCCATCCTCCCTTGTCCTCCCTTTCATGCACTCGTTTTCTGCATTGCTCGAAGATCATTTTTCTATCTTCACCGACGCTACCGTACTTCATAATGTGTTTTATGGATATTATTCGTAACTTTTCTATTCGAAGAATCGTTTTTAAGCCGTCTAATAGAACATTGTGAATGTCGTCCTTGCTCGGAAAACGTCAAATAGGAAATCTCACTGAGGATCCACCGAGAAGAATCTTTTAATAAGCCGCGTTTTTTTTTCAAAACAAAACTCATCTCATTCGCTAATATTAAAGGTAGGGAACATCCAGGGACACCTGATCCTTTAGGAGACTTCCTTGATCACTAGTCGTTATTTCGACAATGGAGAGATTTAATTTTTTTTTCATTTAACATCAGTGTTCATTTTTAACTATATAAAATGTCATTTTGGTAGTTGAACGCCGATGAACAACGGAGGATTGATTTTTTGAGATATTCAAAAATCAAAACCTTGTCTATAAATTAATATAAAATTTGAAATGCGTTTCATTTTAAAGTAGTTATGAATATCTCTAATATTAACTTTGTTGCAATGGAATTTATTTTTACTAATTGTAGCAAATGATGCTTTCTCTCTCTCTCTTTTTCTTTCAAAACACCGTTAATAACGCAATATCGTGAGACACCGTTAACGTGGTAATGCGTACATTTAACGACAGCACTGCACGTCTTTCCTCTCTCCCTTTCTCTTTCTCTCTTTTGCGTACAAGTAATTCCTTTTTTAACCCTCCGAACGGCCCGGATGTAAGCCGATCGCGGGAAATTCCGTAACGGAATTTCCGTACGCGAGCTCTGCGGTCATTTACATATGCGCGGGAATTCCGCGGTGCTGCGAGAAAATTTCATATCGGCAATGTTGCATGCGCCCTGCAATATTAAATTCCATGTTTACTCGGCCCGCGTGCGAACATACGCGCTGTCCATATTATTATTATGGATCGTAATTACGGATTGCGGCGCTCGTTTTTCGCGGTAGCTCAAAGGGACGAAAATGTGCGCGCCGCTATTTCACTGCCGTCGGTCCTTCCCATCGACATATGAATGTCTGGACGGAGCATGTGCTGGCAATTAAGATCAAGAGGGTTGCACCGATTTTCTGTAAAGGGAAAGTTGCGGCACTTTGAGTCTGCACGCGTCTGCATTATAAATCTCACAATATATAATTATATATCTTTACCGTTCACTTTGCATTACGTGGGGGGAAATCTAGCCAGGCAAACGTCAGATATTCGTACGTCCTTTCTTCATTCGACGTTCACGCCCGTTCCATCGACTTCTTACGGCTCCTCCCGCTTATTTATGTATCCACCTTTTTGCAAACACGTCGCGTCGATACAGAATCGTCCTACGTCGTCGTGCGCAGGGAGCGTTCTATAAATATTTAGTGGCCCTTATTTCTTTTCCCGTCCAGCGCGCTATACTTGAATTTTCTTCGCTGTTTCTCCTCTTATTAATTCCGGCGACCACGGCCGGCTGCGCAAGCGGAATTCGAAAGTATTTTTATGAAAATGTAGAAACATCCGCCGCCGCCGCGATCCTCTCGGCGCGAAACTATAAAGACGTATATTTATTTTTACCTCTGTTGTGAGACGGACGTTTGCTAACGTAGATAAATGGCAAAGAGAGATGCATACTTCTGGGGAACTATTTTTATATTTTCTTAGCAAGTAATGTACTATATTGATAAAACTTACGTACGAACATGTTGTTTTACATGCGCGAAATTAAAATATCGAGTTGAATCATAACCAATGTCCTTCAAAGACATTGCCGCCACATTAAGAAATACTGTCGCGCGGATTGTTATCCCGCGTGCTTTCACGACACTCTTTCGTTTCGGCCAGTTACATTTTCAAATATCCAAATCGCGAGCCAAGTGGGTGATCTTGACGGAGAAAGATGCGGCGGAAAATTCGCCGCGAAGATTCCGTCGAGGCGAAGTTTCGTGTCTGACGAGCTTTCCCACGTAAATCCCTTAAAGAAGAGCGCACGGTAAAGAGTTACATCGCGAACGCATGTACGCACACACACCGGCTTTTCCGTCGCGTGAATGGAAGGATTAAATAAAATAGGTCGCGTCGCGCCGGCTCGGAGTCGCGACAAATTTGATCGTGAACTCGCCAGAAATCTCGTCGTATGTCGTGAATTTCATCGCGAAAATTTTACTACAGCCTCATCGTGGATTTCATCGTAGTCGCTGGGTGAGCCGAAAAATCCGATCGAGAGTTCCCAAACGGACGGAAGTTTCTTTTTTGTTGCCGCTTTATTCCTCGTCGCGAATTAATTCGCGCCCCGTATGAAGCGAACGTGCGACCGCATGATACTCGCGACTACGTCTATTATTATTGGCGCATCCTCGGACCATATCGGGAGGACGCGCTGTGTTTAATTTCGAGAGCGGGCCGCATTTAAAGGGTAAACAATTTGATCGTGCAAATATCACGCCGTGTTGTAATATTCCCGAAGGGAAGTCTCAACGCGAACTCTCGCTTATTTATCGTTTAACTGTTGCGATGTAAGGGCGGAAACGTCGGTTCAAATTCGCGAAACGCTTATATTCATCAAAATATTGTCCGATCAATTCTAAACTCAAAATAATGAAATGAAACTTGGAATGTTATGTATAAAAATGCGCTGCGTAATAAAAAAAAACTGCACAACGAGTCGGGAGATAATGTGGTCCCCCATTAAAATTGTGATATTTTCATACGTAGAGAAAAATATTGAAAAGTTATAAAACACTTTACCTTATAAAATTGTCTTCTATCGTCAATACTTTTTTCGAGACATTCACGCGTCTCACACAAAAAGATCTTTTCACTCCAGCCAACGTTTTCAGTACAACTGAACGATCAATGTGCGTTCAACGTCAAATTGTAAATCCCGGACTGTTTCTCTTGGAAGACACAGCATCGAGATAAATCGTCGATTAAACGCGCCGTTTTGACAACTCCATGCGAACTCCCATAACAAGACGTAGCAGAAACGCAGGATCGGCACCACCATATGTTTCCGCCGACGTTTCGACGGTATCGCTCGTAAATCTCCGTCGGAGACAGCCGACAGATCGGCCCCGGCGAAAAGGGTCCGGACGATCGCGATAAATCATCGGCCGCGCCGGGTCAATTACAAAGCCGCGTCGGTAAATAACGAATTACGCGGCTTTCAATTTGCTCGTACGGTATAATGGCCACCGTCGACACCACCGGCAGGCAGCATCACCGGCGCTCGTCTCTCGCTCCCTCGCGATCGATCCGCTCGTGTTCGCCGGCGCATCGACCGGACTACATTCCCGGCTCTCGTTAGTCTTCATTAACGTCGCGGCCGTGCAGGACGCACCCTGACGAATGAACGAAAAAAAAAGAGAGAGCGCGGAAGGTATGAAATGGACGCCGAATCTGTCGCATGCATCAATTTGGCGATGACTTTGCTCGTCTCACAAGAAAGTTGTACGCACAGCGCTTATACTCGTCGTATCGAATGATGAAAGAAATGTGACCGGAATTGATTCAGTTTATACATAAAATATAATATGAAAATCCGACAGTGATTTTTTCTGAAGGATAAAGATGCCATTTTGAGGACCATAACCATTTTATCCATCGTCCTTTCTTGCTGAAGAAATTTGGTGGCGATCATGAAAGTCTATCTGGGCGATAATCCGCTCTGTTGTGGATGTTATGAATAATTTACCGTACCGACGTTAGTTACATCGCGTAGATATCATTGTCTTGCGCATCCCATTGCGAATTATCATCGTCCCTTCACTTGCCCCGCAAAAAGTCCGCAACGACGATATTTTCGTCTACGAGTTATAGCGACGAAACCAACCAGGCTTTTAGTGCATCGGGTAAAACTCTCTCGTTTGCAGCGCCGGAACATCGCGACGAAGTTCACGTCCATTGGTCGTCGTCGATCGTAAATCTTCGAGAGAGCGTTCGCGAAGAGGCGGGAGGGATGAAGGGTCGGCCTTGAAGGGCCCTGCCGGGCCTGTCGGGAGAAGCGAGAGAGAAGGAAGGAGTCGGCGCCAAGTCAAAAGCTCGGTCACAATAGGTTGCCTGCAAAGCTCTGGTTCCAGGGGGTCGGAGGAGGGTGGTGGCGTCGGGGGAGGTAGCATGTGCTGCGTCCTTCAGGGTGCCGAGAGAGTGTTCCCCTCCGCGAACGGTGGGAAACACGGGGCAGGCGCGGGGGGCAGTAAGGGCGCCGGCACCCCTGTTGGCGCCCACGACCTGCCCCTCGAATCGCTCTGGGCGGCCGGCCTCGACGAGGGGATGGGATTCCCGCAGAGATGTTCATACGCGAACCAACACACCACCCTCGCAACCTCCTCTGCCAGTAGCCACGCGTCCGCGAATCCCGAAGACCTCTGGAGAGAGAGGAACCTCACTCATAGGTATATATGTATGCGTACTTTTCTTAACTTTTACTACGATCAAAGAATTCGCCGTGTGTTCCGAAGAATTACTTTTTTGCTTAAATCGCCTTACACACAGGTAAAGTTGTAAAGCTATTCTCAGAACTTGACAAACAATTTTTAATCGCTATCATCGAGAGGTCACATTTTTTCCGCCAAGAAGCAGATTCGTTCCGGTAACTAAATGGCAGCTCCGATATATAAGGAAAATGTAAGCTCTGCTAATTAGCGTGTGTGAAACAATTTTTTTGAAAACGTCAGACATCCCCTCATTTCGTCGAGTCGTGCTACGTCCGTTAACTTCGCGACTTTAACTCTCGGCAGAAACTTTCTCGAGAGTTGGCGTGAACGAGAGAGCCGTTTGGGGAACGGTTGCTTTTCAATATCAAAGGAAATTGTCTTGCCTTTCGTCGTTGCATCGGGAAATGGATCGACGATTAATTTGTATTTGCTTTTTTTTTTTTTTTTCCGACGGGAGCTTAATTACAGATTTAATAAGGCTCTCTTCGGGAAACGACGATCGCTCTTCTTCATACCGTTTCCCCGCGCGCTTAGAAATCGATTATCACGGAGTCGAGAGTACCAATCGAAACGCGAGATCCTCCACTCGAACGCCACAGAAAAGCTCGTTCGCAGAACGACCTCGGGGATCGATTCCTCGATCACGGACGAGATATGGACGTCAGCGAACGAGCGGCGGTTCTGCCGCACCTCGACAACTTCGACCGGCATCGGCTCGTCCCTAAACCTGCACGAGAACAATCGCTCGCTGGAGTCTCGCGATGGCGATTTCTACTGCACCGACATCGAGGACTCCAAGGACACCTACCGCAGATTCTACCCGACCACTCCGACGACCTCCGGCCTCGGCTCGTCCTCGGACCGGCAGTCCGTGGAGACACAGTGCGGCTCCAGGGATCTGCCGGATCACCTGTGGGCGGCCGCGATGGAGGACGGATTTTCGCGCTTCAACGCGATGAAGTCGCTGCAGACGATCACACGACAACCTCGACCGAATCACGACTGGGTGAAGACCGAGCGGATCTCGAGGTTCACCAAGCACCGCACCATCAGCCAGTCGCCGCAACGCGAACAGGAGATCTGGACGTCTAAGCTGAACGAGTCCAGCTACGCCACGCAGAGGAATCCGCACAAGTGCCACCATCAGGCCAGAAGGAGCTTCTCCACGTCGATCGTCGCGGACCTCGCGGTCACGCCTGACGGGTCGCAGCAGAGCCTCGGCAGCGGCGAGTTCCTGGTGAGTCTCGATGTCGTCTCGTGGTAGTACCTCGATTGAACACTATCAACTTACTGAGATGTGAATACGTTTTCTTTGCAATTATTCGAAAAAGTGACGGATCTCTCACGAGAAGCTAGCTAAGTTTGCTTTACACACAAAATACATCATTTCCAAAATGAGCCGCGCTCTATCATTAATGCCATTTAAATATCTTCACTTCAAATATCCGCGTAGAAATTTTTCAGTATTTTCCCAGCGTAGAATGTCCATACTTGTCAGCTTTTACCTCATTATGGCACCGATTGGGAATTCCATTCAAACACTTATGTAGCAACTTGGCGTGTTTGAAACAATCCTATCTGTTGTGGATTTCTCAATCACGAAATTCATAATTTTCTAGGAAATTGTGCTAGATCTTAATTATATATCTCATCCAAGTAAAAATTTGCTAATGATTGAATCCTGAAGCATTTTTTTCTGTATTATTCAACGTTATATTTTGAGCTCTCTTTCTTTTCAAGATCTCTGAAAAGATGAGACGGTGGAGCAATCCGAAACTTCTTCCGAACAGAGCCGAAAAGTTCTCGGAACCGATGTACAGTTCGCTCATTAAACGTATTACAGTTATTATCGCTAATCGCGTTACGAGAGACGCGGATTTAATAGCGTCTCGCGAGGGTGGCTTTGTCCCGCGCCGCGTGAACGAACGTCGGTCGGCCTGAAAGTGCGCCGCGGTAGAAAAGAGGCGAAACTATCGTCCTCCAACCGTTGATTATCGTAATGGCCGCAATCGACTGAAGCGAGAGGTGGCAGCGGTTCTTAACCCTTTCCTTCCATTTCGTAGAAAGGGACCACTGACTTATCACACCGCGGATTACCTTGTGGCGAAGTCTGCGATGAGAAAGAGAGAGAAAGGAGTCCCGTCGGTTTTCTTTTTGCCGTGGCGAAGGCTTTGAACTCCTTGGACCGTAAACTGAATTTATCGCCGCGTCACGGTAGCGCGCGGTCTGTGTACATTTTAAGGCGGATTACCGACTTTCCTCGCGGCCTCTTCCATCGGCAATTCTCCGCGGTAATTGAATATATATATATATCTTGGCGCAGTAGTCGCGTAGCGACAGCACGAGAGACGCAGGCTCGAGCGAAAGTCGATCGCGACGTTCACAATGATAGTATTGTATTCTCCGGAAACGAGAAGGAAAATGTTAGGAAAGAGATTGTAAATAAATGGTACGAGAGAGAAGCAAACTTAGGTATTTTTCCAACGCATCTCTGAAAAAAAAGTCATGAAAGATTTTTTATCGTTATTTTTTTGAATTATTGAATATTTACTTTTATTTATTTCTTTATTATTGTACGTCTAACGACACACTTTGTCCGTCGGGACATTGGATTTCTCATTTCAAAGGGTTCGTCGCAAACTGTCCTTCCAGCATTGGATAAATAAAATAAAATTTGCGTCAAATACAAACAAAACGCATCCACTCGTGCAACAAAGTTGACAGAAGCTATTAAAACAGGGGACGTCACTCGCGCAAAACTCGAATGCGCGCTGAGTGTCGAGATTGTCGGACTGTAAACATTTTAAGACAGACTCTTCATGGATGTACATATATATTTTAAGCGTTGACGATATTTTTTGTATACTAGTAGCGCTCAGGAAAATGACTATATCGCGTCATCATATAATCTTGGGGATTCGACAAGAGACTTATTGTTGACTGAATCGCGCATATTCCGATTTTTATAAAGAATAATTCGCATTTTCCGTATTTATTCACTCGGTGGGTAATCACGGAAATTAAGGTAGATATATTCCTTCCTCAGTTATAAAATTCTATATTAGTTTTTACCATAAAATCCTCTCCGTGCAGGTTTCACTCCTGGCTGAGGCAATATTTTGTTCGCAACATTGCGTTAGATAAATTTTTATAGTTTGGAAGAGGAAAGGGGTTGATATAATTATAAAATCGGGATACAAGGTTGGGCTTCGACGTGGAAAAAGTAAGTGTTAATTAAAGCGCCGCAACATTGGGAAGACTGAAAAGTTTTTCGGCACGTGCGATACTTCATCGACATTATTATCGCCTTTCTTGAATAATTATTCGTAATTATTATCGATTCTTGGTAGTTTTGGATATGTGAATAACATATAAATTGATTTGGATGTAACTCGATAAAATTGAACAAAACTCCACGAGATCTTATCGCTAATGGAATATCGATCGTAAATGAAATAGAGGTAATTGTTTCTATTCAGCCGCAATTTTATTTTGATTGTTTATATCGCGGCTGCTGATGTTCATAAATATTGAATCACATCATGATAGCGGCTTTGCTAACATGAATGTTGTATGTTTAATACAATGATCGGATGAATATAGTTTCATTATATATCACCCGTTGAAAACCAAATTTCCTCTAATCTACGTATGCATTAGACGCATTAGACGTACATAATTCATGTATATCCGTGTGAATGCATTACCGTGCACGTTCGTGCGTACATCAGAGTGCGTCCCCCCCCTCCGTTCGGTACGTTTTCTGATACACGTTTACGTGTATGCCGTTCCGATGATGAGAATAGGCACACATAATCACGTTGGTATAATCCCGGACTGTAACGTACGCGGGTTAAAGCCTAGGATCGGCTCGCAAGGTGAATCTCCACAAATCCTTGAGATATAACGAATTATTTCATTTTACGGCAAATAATATGTAGGCTATGATTTGATTTTGTCCATCTGAGTGTCGCATTACGAGCGGTCGCTTTGAACCGTCTTATCTCTCGCGAAGTATGCGAAGCTTTTGTCTAAACAACCGACCCGCGTGTGAACACGCGTCATCACGCGATCGTCTTCATCTTCTTCTTCTCTCTCTCGCGTAATGCCCCTGCAAATATGTATTTATCTTCATCCATCGAATCTTAATCGCGGAAAGCAATTGCAAAACATCGGAACAGGTCGGGGTTCATTTTGTTTATCTTAATATTTTTATCATATTATATTCATTATATTATATATTTAACCCTTTGCACTCCGGAGCGGAGCCATTTAAAATTTGTCTTCAAACTCGAGAGCTCCGCTATGGAGACAATAACTTTCAGTTCATAACATAAGGACAAAGACAAATCGTAAAAACTATTGGATATTCCGCTCTTGCTATTTGAGTTTGAAGACAAATTTTAAATGGCTCCGCTCCGGAGTCCTCGAGTGCAAAGAGTTAATATATGATATTTATTATATAATTTGCAAATTATGATTAATGAATCTTCAGAAAATAGCGATTTAAAAAAAAGGATACAAAATCCATCACAAGCGACAATATAATATATTCGTAACAGTAATAACAAAACCAGTAATATACATAACACAAATATAAATATAAGAAATTATATACAAGTATATATACGTATAATATATACGTGATATATAATAATATATACGTGACAAAAATAACATAATGTTTCGCTAGATTGCGCGAACAAATTCGAAATATCCGCTGGAGTCAGCTGGTTCAGCGAGGGAAACATTATGGAATAGGCAGCGACATAAAATGACAGGAGGATATATTTATGTCGTTGATTTCGGAAGTAACTGTTGTTTCACTCGGTGCGCCACGTGCGTGGAATTGGTGAGGGTGAGCGAATGGTATTCGTGAACATCGCGTTCGCTCACGATGAACGAAAGAACGGTTCTCTCTCGTCAAGCTGTTTGTGTATATACGTCGTACGTACATGCATCGCTCGCGGCAACGATCTGTCGTGAAATCTCCGGAACGCCATGTACGACAACGACGGGATATAAAAGCGCCCATTCCACTTCCGGATATTAGAATCGGATATATCGTCAGGGGTTCATTTTTTTTTCATCTTCGTCGTCATCGTCGTTGGCCGATCTCTCGTCGAATGAAGGGATTTTCATCGTCCGCGAGTCACGTTACTACGAAACGTAACGTGACTCGTTCTTCCGCCGAGCAATTCTCGACCGTTGGGAGATGCATCATTAATTTCCTCGCTCCAGAAAGCACCGGCCGCCTAAGCCGTAATTGATCCTAATTTGGCTAACGGTATTCACCACGACTGACTTTTCGTCTGGAGATTGAACATTTCCGCGCTGTCGAAGATACGCGGTCTGAAACAATGAGAGGAGATCGCTTCATCAAATTCCTACGTCATCTAGCCAGTATAGGCGTTACAAGATACTTCCCTAGCATTGAATCGTCGCCCTCTAAGTTTCGTGGAATTTTACTCGAAAAATAAACACAGCTGATTCACTCGAATTTGAGTAATTTTTCACTCATATAGAGTGGACTTTCCATTAGAGATTGGTTCTCTCTAATGTATTTTATATCGTTGCAGGAACAAATGAATTAGAGACCAATGAGAGCCCGGGAGTTGTAGTGCAATAATAAAAAATAAAGAATAATCCTTGAAGCATGATATCAAGGTTATTCCAATATAACTCAATATTTAATCATGTATTATATCTAGCATATATATAAACCATTTATTTTGAAAGTGGCCTATTTGTCAATTTTTTTTTGTTGACTGTAGTAACGTGTACAATTTGAAGTTAGCTGTCATAAGCAACATTTTGCGATTAAGTATATTCAGAGTATACGATAATTTTTGACACATACATTTTCGCAGTTATTTCAATAATTAAAAACATTACTTTGAAAGTGGCCTAAATCCAATCCATAATGTCCGAAAGTGCGTCGTAGAAATGTCATTAAAGAAAAATAATTTACTGTTTGTCCCCTAAGACTATTATAATGTTATCAAAAAGTGCCGAAAGGGTAATAACTTTATTCCGAATGAAACAAGAGGATTTCATATCAACAAGATTTTTGGAGGGCGCAGTTTTTAAAAGGGTAAAGAATTCTAATATACGTATATTTTTAATTTTATTGAAACGCAAACTCTTAAATATTTCAATTTAAATATAAATGGACTTAGGTTCAAAATAAACGGCTTATATATATATATAGTATTGTATATTCTATCGAAACGTTTT